TCAATCTCCCAGCCTCTTTGTAGCAGCCTGCAAGAAGCAGTTTTCAACAGCTCAAAGGTCTCACAGCCAGGTAAGCAGAACAATTTGGAAAATTATTCCTTGTTTTTGGAAAGTGACATTTTCACATCTATGTTATCAAAACCACAGAATCTGATTTACCTTATAACACAGAGTAAAGTATTCTTTTTAAAAAAAAAATGAGCTACAATTAGATACTGTGGAAGAAAGTGATACAAGCTGGATTTAAAAAAAAAACATCTGTCCAATGATAAGTGAATATTAATAGAATGCTGGTCAGTGGATTTATGTAGTCTTTTTGATTAGTACATTCTTTGCAGCATGTTCTTTCAAATGATCCAATAATTTTTACGGATCTCTATAGTTTTTTGTGAACTGTCTGATGTCTGGGGCATATTATTAGTCGTTTCTTCACACACTTATTTCTTGTGTGTAAAATTGTTCCATTAATTGCCAGCATTATTCAGAAAAATAATCCAAGTCTTTTACAAAGAACCAATATGCTTCTTTTAATAAACTTATACAGACCAGCAGTGCAAAATCAATCTGACCATTAGAACTTTTCTATGTGATAGCCTATTGAACAGGAGACTTGGGGAAGGACTCCTCATCTCACATAATGTCACAGAATACATATTGTCCCTTATGGAGAAATATGTAATTGCAGCCTTATCGTATTTTTTTCTGAAAGACATTCTTTTCCTCATGTGAGCAGGGGGTTATATATGATTCTGTTCTGACTTATATTTTTAAAAATGACTCCTAGATTATTGATCACAATCCAATCCTATAATACATGTAAAATCAGGAACTATAATATGGTTTTATAGAAATTCTGTGGCATTTCCTGATATTCACTATGAAAATCGCATGTTTTTATTTTACTGCATAGATTATATAATTTTGTAGGATTTGTTTTTTATTATATAAAAAAGTTTGTTACTGAAGATGATAAAATGAATTCATTTTTTCAAAAATGTATACATGTGCGATTGATACTTTTATATTTCAAGTTATCCACTTTTGATGTGTATTTGTTTAAATTTTATGTGTCATGTTGATGATGCAGTACACAGTATTTTACAAGTATTTTACGTATATCGTCAAAGAGAAAAAAGCATGTAAAAAGTGCTTTTAGCAAAACTATGAAAAAATACAAGCAAAAAGAAAATATAACAGGCAGTTACAATTTTACATAAAAAAAAAAGAGCCGAGGTGGTGCAGCAGTTAGAGTGCAGTACTGCAGGGCACTTTAGCTGACTGTGTTCAGCAGGTCAGCGGTTCAAATCTCACCGGCTCAAGGTTGACTCAGCCTTCCATCCTTCCGGGGTAGGTAAAATGAGGACCCAGATTGTTGGGGGCAATGTAAATATATATATACATTGCTTACTGGTGTACACCGCTTAGAGAGTGCTTGCACTTAAAGCGGTATATAAGTCTCATAAATAATAATAATAATAATAATAATAATAATAATAATAATAATAATATACTTGTTTAATGCAAATATTATTCAAGTATGTGTATATTTCTAATACATTTATACAACTATCTTTTTAACCTATTATATTCTGTATAAATGAGACTGATATTTCTGTACAAAGTACATCTAGAAATGTGTTTTACAAATATGAGTCAAGATACACATATCTTCTAAATATAACATACAGATTCCTCAAAATCTAAATGGCAGACCTGCCCCAAAACAATAATTTAGGAAAGCAAACTCTCGATTCCAATTTATTGAAGTTAAAAGAACTTTTACTAAAGTTGTTGGTTGCAGGAAGGTGAGGCAGAAACTGAAGTTTCCACTCACTGATACAAAGAGCCAAGCCCACCGTTCCCCATCCCTCCTCCCAATGTCCAGTCTGTTGCCACCCAATCCAGGATTGCTACAATATTGTGGGAAACTCTGGGTTGTTTAGGCTGCTGGACTCTCATACCCAGGACAAGTAGCCTTGAAGATGCCCAAACTCTAACTGGTATCAACAGCTCTGGTCTTCTTCACTCCCTCTCCCCGTTTCCCATCATTAGATACAAAGGTGTGGATTACCCAAAATGTCTCCCCTCTCCCTTCCCTTTTGATGGCAAAACACCACTAAGGCGCCAGGCCGATGATGGAGATCCTGACATTAACTCTAAACATTGTGTATAAACAGGAGCAATTATAACATTGAAAAATAGCAGCAGTAAACAAAATGTACTAACCCAAATAACATCGTAAGACACACACATGAAATTAAAAGCAAGAGTATTGAAATAATTAAAATGTTATAAGGCAGTAGAATCATGAATTATCCAAAAACTGTCTTGATATTTTATGTTTCTACTGCCTTATAACATTTTAATTCTTTCAATACTCTTGCTTTTAATTTCACATGTGTGTTTTATGTTTTACGACGATCAGTTTTGTTGAAATGCTATTAGTTGCTTTCCTCAGTTATCCAGAAAATCAAAGATTTATTACTAAAGATGTTCTTCCTATTGACATTTACCTCAGCGATAAGGTATTTACCTTAGTAACATCTAATATCACATAGTCCTATTATTCTGACCCTGAGTTAAAAACGCCTTCTTTTAAATCAAGTCAGATAGATAACTCAATAGAAATGATTTCATAACAAAAAACATATTTTAATCAGAAAGATTACTTGCATTCATGCTGTGGTTGTTATTTCTGGAAAATACATCTTTTGTCCATTCCTATAGGTAAAAGAATGATGCTCTCTTCCATACCATCTTTATAATGGCGCAGGCTCATCGGGTGACATCTGATGGCCCATGCTTCTTTTAGACAAAGACATTCCAATCTGGCTTGTGTCCAGGAAGTCTTCCAATGCCCTTTAGAAACTCCTCCCACTGACCCATCAACAAACCCAGCATTTAACCCAATAACTGCCAGACATTCTAACATATTGATAAATGCTCACTAGTTGGGGTTACATAGAGCTATATGAGGTTACATAGAGCTGTACAGTTCAGAACACTCCCCACTTGGAAATTTATATTTCCACTACTAACTAACTGAAGGAAAAAAAAAAACATAGGATAAAGGCATACAATATTCAATGTTAACTAACTTGTGACTAAATAGGTGAAAACTTGGTAAGGAACATGCATAACTATAAAGTAAATATAAAACATGCACAATTATGCAAAAAAAAAAAACCTAAGCAAGTGTTACATCAAACAATGCATAAGACAATACATAATTTGAGGTTTGATCTTCTGGTTCAGTCTTCATCAGCAATGGGACCAAATCGGTGATCGGCCTGGTACAAGTGTCTTTGAGTCATGACCTGACTCACGTGGCTTCACGATCTGGACCTCAGCTTGGCAAAATAGTTCATCAACTGGGTGGGCCCGATGTGCAAGTCCCATGGGCCAATAGTTCTGGTATGCGTTCTTGTCTCCCAGTGAGACAAGGTCTTCTTCCTGTAAAGGAAACTGGAACCAAATCTGGAACTGGAAAACTGGAATCCAAAATTTCTCAGGAACAAAGGGAACTGGATTCACAGGATACGCAGGAACTGAAGAACCTGGAAACACAGGAACAGCTGGATCTGGAAACACAGGAACAGCTAGGGCTGAAAGATCAGGAACATCTGGAAACTCAGGAACAGCTGGAGCTGGAAACTCAGGAACAGCTGGAAGTGAAGAAACAGGAGCAATAGCTGGGACTGAAGAATCAGGATCAGGAACATCAGCTGGAACTGAAGAATCAGGAACAACAGCTGGAACTGAAGAATCAGGAACAACCGCTGGAACTGAAGAATCAGGAACAGCAGCTGCAGGAAACTCAAGATACTCAAGAACCGACAGGTCTGGAACCACCGATGGAGTATTGAAGAGGGCTGCTACTGTTGTCATCAGCGTAGTGAGGACTTCAGGTGTGGGTGTCTTTAGTGATATAGAGTCCATGATTTTTCAGGATGCACCAAACATGTGCTCCCACACTTCGCCTATGCACGCTTCATCCATGTGAGATGCATGGGTAAGGCAATTTTTGGCTTTCAGACATTTGTCAATCACTGGGTCATGGCAAATGTCTCCAATAGTCTGTAGGTCTTTGCAGGCTTCTGTAAGGTAAATTCTTGGGATACTAAGACAAGTGATCAAGATAATCAAAACTATGCCTAATTTCAGGTGTCTCCTCTTAGACAGGATTTTGAAGTGGATTGGTTGATGTTTTGCTGGGTGTCTGGGGTTGAAGGTTGGCACGTTGATCTGAAGCTGGAAGTGCATAACGTTTTGGTCTCTGTGGCATCTGTCTGTTTGGACAGGCCAAGAACTCAGGACTTTCTAGCCAGATCAATTCTGTTAACTGTGTGGCAAGGGTGAGCCACTTCACTTGGTTCACAAAGTTCTTATCTGTTGGCGCATGTTGCCATGGTTCAGGGCTTAAAGATGTTCAATCCTTTTCACTCTCTTGCCTACATAGACATAGAAATGTCTGCTTTGCTTGCAGATGTAGCTTGACATTACCTTGCTGTCTGTGTAGAAGGTGGTAGACTGTAGTTCAAGGCACAACGTCTTCGCTGTCAAGTTGGTGAGCTTTACAGCTAAAGTGGTACCACATAGTTCTAACCTTGGTACGGTGTGCCTTCTTGTATTGTTAGTCTTGCTTTTCCCAAAAAACCACCGAGACTGCAGCACTCCCCGCTGTAGACTCCGTATCTTATGGTTGCAAATAAGACAACGTAAGTGTGGCTCTCCCCGCTGTGGACTGTGACACATCTTAAGGCTGCATTTACCTTCGTAGACACATCTAAAGAAGCGTACAATTATTTCTTCTGCTCTGTGGCGGGTGAGCTGGAGACATACATGCGCTGCACTTGCATGCTTTGGAGACATCTTGGGAGTACGCTCCATGACTCCCAGTCTTGGAGACATTGTTTGTCTTGTTTGTCCTCTATGGACAAAGCTAAGTTGTTGTAATTTTTGTTTGTCTGGAACACTGTTGCTTCCAAAACAGGTTTGGTTGTCACAAGCATGCAGTGTTCTAGGTGTGGTTGGAACACTGTTGCTTCCAAAACAGGTTTGGTTGTCACAAGTGTGCAGTGTTCTAGGTGTGGTTTTAGGTGAGATGCTGTTCCATTACTGGGAATGGAGATTTTTGAGATATTCACCTGGGTTGGGGTTTGCGATTGATCAACACATCCGAGTTCCATCTTAATGGCTACTGGGGTTCCTGGTGGACCTTTGATTCTTTCATCGGAGCCAATGGACTCTGGGGCCTCTCTTCCCACCATGAGTAGGATTTCAGCTTCAGGATCTAGAGGAGGGATTAAATCGGCTATGTGTGCTAAGTGAGGTATTTTTCTTGCTGCTTCTGGTGTTGAGATTTCGCTGCAAACATCTGGTAAGGTCTCCCATTGTAACACTGAAGGTAACTGGAAATGTAAACTTCCATCTATTGCTTCTATGTGTAGACCAGTGATTTTCGTCCCCACCGTGCGCATTGGTACTGTGCATGTATTTATTGCAAAATGCTTCAGTTCACTCGGGAGGTCGAAGAGGTCGAAAAAGGCGGGCTTAGCTATAGTAACTTTGCTGTGTGGGCCTAGTATGGCGTACATCTTTACGGCCCTTTCAGGTTGCCCGTTGGGGTAGACTTTTGCAAGACAGACGGGTGAGCATGAAGGAGGGCATGGTGAGTCGCCGCATATCTCTCTGTAGTATGTTCCATACTGTTTTGGCTGCTTTTCAGAGTCAGTTTGAGTCTCTGTCATCGAAGTCGCTTGTTGTGTCTCCTCAGAAGGCTTCTTAGTTTCTAGATGTAAGGCTGCTGGGTGCTTGTTGCTGTCACACAGGTGGCATTTCACCCTGACTGCACAATCTTTGGCCATGTGCTCCATAGAGTCACAGGATTTGAAACATATCCTATTCTCTTTGAGTAGGGTCTTTCGGTCATCTAGGGATTTTTTCCTAAATTCTCTGCAGTCGTTTAGAGAGTGTGAGGACTTTTGAATTGGACAAGTCAGGCCCTTTCTTAGTGGACGAAGATTCGAATAAGAACTCCTTGGTGTTCGTTCGTCGGGAATCTTCTTTGGGTGAGGCGTGATGTCTGTTTTGTACACTGAAAAGGTGGTTCTGTCCTTCGTAGCTTGGATGGGTCCCTTGACTACATCAGAGTTTTGACTGCTTCGCTTGGTTGTTGGGAAGTGTGTTTCTCTGATGGAGAGGTATAGGGGGTCGTTGTAGAGATCAGCCTGGTCACTGATAAATTCAGCGAGAACTGCAAAGGGGGAAATTTTGTTTTGGTTGCTTTTCCTGTAAGCTCGAGAAAGCTCGATCCATTGTTCACATATCAACCGTTTTTGGATGATAGGATTTTGTGTCCTAAACAGGTCAAGGCAAGGTAGGATCCTGTTGTGCTGTCTGTAGTTGAGTAATGAGCGACAAGAAAGTCTTCAGCTGTTGACGTTCATAGATTCTTATGTTGGGGAAACTGAGAACGTGGTCCAGAAGCGAGGACTCCATCACTGTGGGTTCATCGTAGTCCTTGTCAAGTGTGTCCCAAGTCTTTTCAAGGCCAATGTCAGGGTCGCCCAAATGGGATGCGAAGATGTTGTTCACAGTGATTATGGATTTTGGGCCTAGTTAGGCTGTCAGCTGGACAAGTTCCTCATCTGGTCCAGCCCTTTCTTCGTTGATGGCACGCTTGAAGATGTGCTTCCACAATAAGTAGTCTTTTCCAGGTTTGTCGGAGAATCTTCGTACGCCTCTGGCTGCCAAGTCCAACCTTCTTCCAACATACATTGGGGGATGCATCGATCCCATGTGTGGGCTGTAGCTTGGTGGAGGTAGTGCATCCCTTCCGGAAGCGGGGGTGTGTGCTATGGCTGGCTGATAACTTCCTTCAGCATATTGTTGGCTGAGGGTGTTTTGCCATGTCACGTGTGAGGGACCATGTTGGCTTGGTCTGAACTCCTCTGCTCTGGCATTGAGCTGTGGGGACCCAAGTTCCTGCGTGCTTACTTGTTGGAGGGTCTGTCTTTCTGGTGGAGTATAGCTGCCTCCCTGGTGGGCTGGCATGGCTGGTGCTCAAGACTCTCCTCTGTGGTCAGGTCTGGTGGCAGTTCCTTGGGACGCTGCCTCCTGTTGGCGCAGCAGGGACTCTAGTGTGGCTCGAGCTCTTTCAATTCTTCCCTGAGTGACGGCTGGTTCTGCTGTAGGACTGTTGGCTCTGCAGGTGGATCCATCCGATTGCCATCATGGTATAGTTCGGTGGGTTCCGTGGGGCAACAATGGTGGAAAGATCTTGTGGCACTGCCCACTGTGTAGCTGTTGCCATTGCTGGTGGACCCATCTGGTTACCATCGAGGGTGTGGTTCAGTGGGTTCAATGGGGCAGCAACGGTGGGAAGATCTCGTGACCTAGGTGTTGTGACATCAACTCTCTGGCTGACTGGCGCATCTGGTCATTGAGATTCTTCTGTTCGTCTACTCGGTCTTGGGGGGCTTGTGGCCGGCTATGACGCTCTCACCTGCCCACTCTGAAACACGCTTTGGTTGTCCACGTAGGCCTGTATGCTGCTATGCCGCTCTACATTTTCCAGTTGTTCCCTATTGGGCAGGAAAATGGTATGCTGGAATGTTCTCTGAAGGCCTTCCACTCTAGCCATTTTGTCTGCCATATCTTGTTGGCTTTGAAGAAACTCAAGCTCGTCTTGAGTGGCCTTTCTTTTGGCCTTCATTTTAGCTGCTATAGCTTTTCTTTTGGCCTCCATTTGAGCTGGTTCATTTTCTCGATCGGCCTTCACTCTGGCAACCCTCAGCTTCTTGATCGTTCTTCATTTTGATTGCTTCGGCTTCTCGATTGTTCTTCATTTTGATTGCTTCGGCTTCTCGATCGTTCTTCATTTTGATCACTTCAGCTTCTAGCTTGGCCTCTATTTCGGCTTCTTCAAGTTCTATAGCTGTCAGTTCCTTCTTTTTCTGCTGCTCCTCTTGTGCTACGTGAAAGACTGCTTCAGCAGCTTTAACATCGATGATTACTTGCTCTGCATGTGAAATTCTGGATGCTCGGCTATGGCGGGAAGATGCTTTCGAAAGGCAGGAGGCGTCTTTGACATGAGATTGTTGTGACACGCTGGAATGCGTCTTGGAGATATGGCAAAAGGATGAGGCCTTTTCAGACACGCGAGATGGAGCCACATGTGCCCGTTGTGATGGTGCATATGAGGAGCGGGAAACTTCAGACTCGGCCCTGTTGACCGATCTGCCTCTCTGGTGATGCTCGGGCTGTGGGGAACCCTGTGAGCTCTCTAGAAGCTTCTTACGTTCCTCGTTTAGTAGCTTGAGTCTTTGCATCTCGCTATTGACTCTTGAGTCTCTTAATTGTTCCTGAATGTCCTTGCGTTGCCGTTCAGAGTCCATCCATTGCACATAGGTGTCTTCCTTAACTCCTTCCACTGCGTGCGCATGTTCTGAGGAGAATTCCTTCTTCTGTTCTTGGTAGAGTTTGTATAATCTCTCCCAGCATCTTTCATGGCGTTTGTGGATGGTGTCCCATTTCTCCATCAGATGTGAGTGCATGGCTTCTGTGGGCTTTCTTTGTTGTCTCAGATCATAGTGACCCTGAAATGTTTTTGGCTTCACTGAGGCTTGAGCTACAGCCTCTGTGTGCAGGTCAAGGTTGGCTGTTTGCAGCATTTTTCCTTGACCGGCTGGTTGGGGTGTCTCATCTAGGCTGGCTGATTGAACCCCTTCATCTAAATCAATGAGATGCTCTGCCATGGCTAGGACAGGTTTAGTACGCTTCCTAGCTATTTTAAAGCAAATTTTGACCACTAGGAATTGTTGCTTGTAGATCAGCTGCTGGGGTGCTGTCTGTGGGTTGAGGCGTCACTGGGTGCGTTCTCCTGCATTTGTGGGTACTTCAGCGCAATCCACCCCTTCACCACTAGGGGTCACTCGCTGCGTGTCAGCTACCAAGGTGCTCTTCCTTCGAGGTTCACCCTTTGTCCACTAGAGGGCTGGCTCTGGGCGTGATTAAAGGCTTACATGTAGTTCCTCCTTTAACCACTAGGGGGTGACTGAAGAAAGGCTAGCCAAAATTCCTCTTATTACCACGTTACTGCTAGTGGCCACTGCGAAAATGTAGAGCTACAAACTCCCACTTGGCCGTTAAGTTGCAGGCTGGAACCCCTTAGTCATCAGCTGTGATAATAGGCAAGGACAATTGGTTGTGCTTGTTCTTCTCCTTAATTTCCCTCAAACTGGAACAACTTGGTCGTCAGCTTGAGTGAGTGAATACTTTGGCAAAGTTCACTCTGTGCCCTCTAGGGGTGTTGGTAGCTTGGGATAAATTTAAGTAACTTGCTCTTTAACTATTAGATTTACTCTACGTAGTTAGCGAAGCATGCAGTGAAGTACCTTCTTTCCCTCTAAGGGGTTCTCTTAGCTTGGCTTGGTATGAGCCTGCTAGGGGCTGAATTAATTATCAAGTCGTAATCCAGCATGTAGATTGCTGAAGGAAAAACAAATTGGCCACCAGGGGACGCTACTGCATTGCTATTGGAACACTGGCTTCCCAATTGGAATGGTTGAAATTCCAAAAGGAGGGGGAAGTTTAGCTTTTCCACCAGTGCTGTGTCTGTGAGAGGAGCTTAATTGCTTAATTGCTTTCCTTAGTGATGAGGAATTTGGCCTGGTTGCTAAGGTATCTAATGGCTCTATTGCTTGTAATAGAAAGGTTTCTTGCAACTGAATAACATCTCCTTTGGCAAATTAGCTGCCTACAGAATTCAAGGAAGCAATGTTCCTGAGAGCAAACTATTTGAACAAGGATACTGAGTTGAGTTCACAGACAATCTTTTGAAACCATTGCCTCAAGACGAATTGCCTGCAGAGGAAGGGGGAAGGGGGGTTGCCGCTCACAACTCCTTTGATCCTTTCAAATGTGAAAAGCCACAGAAAGAGCAGAGCTATAGGAATACACAACTGCTTTCTTCTCTTGAACGGAGATACATGCAAACGACCTTAACAACTGTTTTGAAAGTGGCTGAAGAAGGCTAAACTTTTCCTGAGATAGACAGCACAATATCTCTTTGACTTAAACGTTGGCTTGTAAACAGCTCCTAATGCAAATTTAGCAGAAGCATCCAAACAAACACAAGGCACTTTATAACTTTTACTTTTCTTTAAAACATTGGCTAGCATGCAGAGTTTGACTAGTAATGAATCCTTGCCAGCAGATGCTTGTCAATATGCAGATAAACTTTGTCATGCAGTGGCTACTTGCAGAATTAACAGCAAATTAACAAAACAATGCATCTGAATCACCCTTCTTTGAAACGCTGTCTGCCAAACAGACACACTGACTTTGCTTTGCAGGCGTTTAGTGGGAGACTGGCCCCATCAATTACTGTTGTAGGTGAAGGAAATAAAAATTAAGGAAATAAAAGTTATTCTTTTAATAATTGTAGAAATAATTGTAGAAATGTAATGCCATTATATGAAACTGTCTCTTTAGTACTAATGTAATGCTGTAACACAAATGTAACAATGCAATGCCAATATATGACCAAATGTTTACTATATCCTGCCTAAAAATCTCCCGGACATAGGAAATTACACTTTAAGTGGAAATCCTACTATCAAAGAAGGGGATTTTAACCCAAAGTGAGAATTCCAGATAAAAAAGATAACAGCAGATGGACGGAAGAGGTCAGGTTAACAAAGTACCACTTCAGAGAAAACCACTAAGATGAAAGAGATGTGACAATGCATTGTAGGGCTATAAAATGCAAAACCTGAAACCAGGCCAGTGTGCTCCTGGAATCCAATCCATAGGGAAGGATCCAGGGGGCCGCGTTTGCAAACGCTCCTCTCTTCTATTCTTTCTCTTTTCTCTTTTATTCTGTTTCTGTTATTCTCCAATAAACCTTTGTTTTGTTAACCAGACTTGTCTTCGTATTGTGAGTATCAAAATTTGGGGTTTTTACATCTCACAATCTTGGTGGAGAATGCGGGCATTAAGAGCTTCTAGGGGACACTGTTCTCAGTAAAATCAGGAGCGCGCCTGTTGATTTCAACTGCCTGAAGTTATCTGAGATCTAGTTTCCCTTTGCAGGCTCCGAGCCAAACTAAATTGACAACTCTGGTTTACAAAAATCAAAGGACAGGAAATAGGAAGAAAGTCAACAACTGAAGCCCAGACCAGGTAACCCAGTGCACTGGCCCAGGTAAGGAACTTTTGCCCCGAAGGAGGGAAGCATGCAATTGTACCTGGGTGGTCAGGAGAGCGATTGTGGGAGGATTTCTGTGATAACGGCTGTGTAAGTGTGAGGGCTGTGTTCTGGGAACACTGGTAAGTCCAGAGGAGTGCAGACCCGAAAGGTTGAGGTCCCTTACTCCCGCAAGGGGGAAGGCCAGCCTGAAGGGAAGCAAACTGGTGTTAAGAGTTTTGAGTGGCCGTCAAATCGAGAACCTCAGGGAACCATAATCAGGAAAACTCTCAAGAAGATGGGTTGTTGTTGTAAGTCGTTGTTGTAAACCTAAAGAAAAAAACTGTAAAATTGAGTAGCTTCAAACAGGAAAACCCATCTTGCTAGCAGCAGATGCCTTGTGTCTGTGAATGGGTTTCCCATGTGGAGCTAGGGTAGAAAAGGAAGTTTTGGGAAATAAGGGGAATGAGAGAAATGTGTGTTTGTCTCTGTGTATGAGTGAGAAGACCTTTTTCCCAAGCAGTTTTCTGTTCTCTTTTCCTTGTCTTGGTACGTATATGTGTGTCAGAGTCTTTGTGTGTGAAGTAAATATGACTGTTACTAACCTCAAGAGAAAAGAAGATACCAAAAGAACAAACAAAGTGAAGAAAGATGTGTTTGTTTATTTATTTTTTTCTCTCCCTCTTAAGAACAGCCCAAAGTTACCTGCTCAGGCAGGAAATCCTATATCATTTTCTTGCCTATTCTGCTCTCTCCCTTTTGCAAATGTTAAGTGTGTTAATGCCTTTTCAAACTCTATCTGCAGACACAACCCCCTTCCCCCCCCTGCTTTTTCTGGCTGTGTTGCTTTGAGAGGAAGAGAGAGAGAAAGGAGAAGGGGGGGGGTTGATCTTTTTAACTTTTTCTCTGCTTAGAATTCAGGTTTGAGAAAGGTGGGGTGGCTGTGAAAATTTAATGCCCACTTTTGCATTTTTTTTCTATTCAAAAGAGGGGTCAGTAATTGTTGGACAACTTTTTTGGGGGAAATTTTTGAGTTTAAATTGTTTAATATCAACCAAAAGAAATGATTCAAAATTGTTTGCTTAGATTTGTAAATGTTCTTCCTATTTAATGGAAATTTAATGGAAATCTGTTTCCATCTGAATGGAATTTGATTAAATTGGAATTTGACTAACTTTATATTAAAAGCAATACTAGAGTTTAAAAAAAAAACTATTTCACTAACTCAGAATATCTTATTAAACTTGTTTATTTTTTGTGTGAAGTTAAAACAAAGAAGTTGAGAAAAAATTTGGGATTATAAATAGCTATGCTGTTTTGAGTAAAGATTAGTATGCAAAACTGTTAGAAAAAGAGCTTGTGTTAACAAATGCAAACAGGGTTTGGTGAGCTCTCCTTTGTTGGTTCTTCGCTAGGTAATTTATTTATAAACAAGGACAAAGGTTGGAGGAGGTTTTGTCCCAGAAGTGGGGGGGGGAAGGCAGCCAGTGGCATTTTTATCTAAAATTGACATTTGGGAACATCTTGGTGGTTAGCATTTCTTATCAAGTGTAGACAATTTTAATCAGGAAGCCTAAAGGAGGTATACACTTGTTCATAGCAAAGTAGTTGAGAAAAGAAAAGAACAAGAAAAAGAGACATAATGAAGATACGATAGTAGATGGGGAAGGAGGGATTACCAAGAATTGAATTAAAAGATAAAATAATTAGAAAATATGTACTTGAACTGTCCAGGTGTTTTTCTCTCCTGCAACAGAAAGGCATTCTTGCCCAAACTCCTTGGACTTTGTAGTACACCAATACAAAGCAGGACAGTGGGTGTTGATAAAAGCCTGGAGAGAGGAAAAACTAACTCCAACCTGGGAAGGACTTTACATCATCTTGTTAACCACTGAGACAGCTATCAGGACAGCTGAAAAAAGTTGGACCATTACTCCCAAGTAAAAGGGCCTGTGCCAGCCCCAGAGGAGTGGAAGGTGGAATCTCACCAAGGAGATTCACTGAAGCTAAAGTTCCGAAGGACTTCATGGACTAATAGTCAATCTTCCTGACAGAAAGGGGGGTAATAGAGGAAAAAGAACTAAACTTTATATTTCTTTTACTATCTAGAACCAAAGGAAAACCAAGACCTCCCGCATGTGCTGATTTTGTGGGTATCTTTGTGGGTGTTGCTGCTGCTCTCACTGTATTAATTGTGTTCAGTGCACAGGGTGTGAGATAGAGTGTGATATTAAGTCTTAGAAGATGTATTGGAACATTACAAGATGGTATGTCTGGGGGGGTAGTTTCTTATTATACTCTTAAAACCTATCCAACTATTAGAATCATGTAAGCAATGTGTAAAAATGACAAAGGGAGAAGGAGAAAATATACACTGACTCCAAGTATGTTTATGGAGTTTTGAATACTGGTGGAAGAAGAAAAAAAAGAAAAGTTATGCTAGAGTGGCAGAAGGGAAGGAAGGAATGGTTAATAAAAGAAAGAAACAGGAAAGTTGTTTTAAGTTTGTTTGCACAGACTTGTGAATTGCATGCATTAAGCAGGGAGACTGCCATTAAAGTGGTCAGCCCAAACGTGTGAATTGTATGCCTTAACACAAGCCTTAGAATGTTGAAAGAATAAGAATGTACTAAAGATGGGAGGTGGATGTTGCAAGATGGGAGAGGGATGTTGAAAAGAAAAAAGAAAAAAACAACAACAAAACAATGGCTAGAACACAGAAGCAGCCACTGAAGGGGGGTCACAAGGGATGATTAATATTTTCTACAACAGGATGGTTGTATTTATATTTTAGTTAAACAAATATGTGATAAAATTCAAGTTAAAAAAAAAAAGCTTTACAACATTTAGTGGTGAGGCCATGTCAATATAGGCCTCAACTGGAAAGTTGTTTTTGTTTCTTTGAAATGGGAGGCTTTTGTTACATGAAGGTTCAAAAATGTCAATGAAGAAGAGAAGAAAGTTACTCAGCGTTTGCATAATGTGGTGCAGGTTTTGTCTTCTATCTCAGTACAGGCCCAGGCTGCCTTACCACCTGTCTCTGGCCATTGTTCCTGGAGAGTGGATTCAGGTGAAAAGAACTGTCACCTAGAAATACCAGTCCTGAGTGGTCTCAATCATGCCAAGTCCTCCTGATTTAAGGAATCAAGGCGTGAGTCCATGGAAAGTCCCATCATATCCTCTCCAGTGACAAACTCTGCAGCTGGATGGCCTGAAAATGAAATTTCAACCTGCCTTACCTGTTGAATTGTTTCCATCTAAGTGGGAGAAAAACTTCAATGGATTGGACGTGTTCCTAGAACCTAGACTATGTGTTGAAAAGTTTTTCTTCTGCTACTGTTGTTTCCTTAGTACTTTCTTTAGTAGAAGGAAGGACCTTGGGCCCAATACTTTAAGGAACATTGGGGAAAGAAGACTCAGAATATGAAAACTTGCTTGCACAGGAATCTAAAGAAAATATAGGAAGTTATGAACTGTTAAAAGTATAAAAGAATAAATTCAGGTGGAAAAGGAAAAGGGGGGATTGAAGGAAATAAAAATTAAGGAAATAAAAGTTATTCTTTTAATAATTGTAGAAATAATTGTAGAAATGTAATGCCATTATATGAAACTGTCTCTTTAGTACTAATGTAATGCTGTAACACAAATGTAACAATGCAATGCCAATATATGACCAAATGTTTACTATATCCTGCCTAAAAATCTCCCTGACATAGGAAATTACACTTTGAGTGGAAATCCTACTATCAAAGAAGGGGATTTTAACCCAAAGTGAGACTTCCAGATAAACAAGATAACAGCAGATGGACGGAAGAGGTCAGGTTAACAAAGTACCACTTCAGAGAAAACCATTAAGATGAAAGAGATGTGACAATGCATTGTAGGGCTATAAAATGCAAAACCTGAAACCAGGCCAGTGTGCTCCTGGAATCCAATCCATAGGGAAGGATCCAGGGGGCCGCGTTTGCAAACGCTCCTCTCTTCTATTCTTTCTCTTTTCTCTTTTATTCTGTTTCTGTTATTCTCCAATAAACCTTTGTTTTGTTAACCAGACTTGTCTTCGTATTGTGAGTATCAAAATTTGGGGTTTTTACATCTCACATAGGTGATTGAAGGAATGTAGCCACATCCAGTTACTTTGCCTTTATACAGCTGGTATGACTCTGAGCATTCTTTCACATGCAAGAGAATTTTTACTTTGCTTCTTTAAACTGTTGCAGATCAGAGGAAAATTAATCCTATCTATTGACTATTTGCCTTTACAAAGTTGATATGAACTTTGAGCATTCTTTTACTATTCTGACCCTGAGTTAAAAAACGCCTTCTTTTAAGTCAAGTCAGATAGATAACTCAATAGAAATGATTTCATAACAAAAAACATATTTTAATCAGAAAGATTACTTGCATTCATGCTGTTACTTCTGGAAAATACATCTTTTGTCCATTCCTATAGGTAAAAGAATGATGCTCTCTTCCATACCATTTTTATAATGGTGCAGGCTCATCGGGTGACATCTGATGGCCCATGCTTCTTTCAGACAAAGACATTCCAATCTGGTTTGTGTCCAGGAAGTTTCCCAATGCCCTTTAGAAACTCCTCCCACTGATCCATCAACAAACCCAGCATTTAAACCAATAACTGCCAGATATTCTAACATACTGATACATGCTCACTAGTTAGGGTTACATAGAGCTATACGAGGTTACATAGAGCTATACGATTCAGAACACCTATTGTAAATAAAAACAAAATCAAGGATATAGCAGTTAGCTTCTCTGTCCCTTCAATTGGTAGAAGTTAACACTTAAATAGTAACAGTATTAATATATAAAAATAAAACATTTTAATGGTAATTATATGTTTTACCCTTCAGTAGTTAATTTGTTTTTAAATATTGAAAATTTTATAATTTGTATCTTTTGCTTTTTCATTATTTAAAGTGTTTATTCACTAGCATACGTTATCCCGGTAAGTATACAAAACAAATATTAACTTGCCTGTGTAATTACTATATGAATACATCTTCTGTTATTTAAAAATACCCGTGTTTCCCCGAACGTAAGACCCAGTCTTATATTATTTTTGCCTCCAAAAGAGGCAAAATATAAGACATTTTGGGGGATGTCTTATATTTTTTGTGACACCTGCCTCACCTCACTGCAGCGGCACCAACAGCCCATTCAGCAGGACCCTCCGGGGCTACTGGCCCACTTCTGTGGCCACACGTGGCAGGAGGCCACACGTGGCAGGAGGCCATGCAGCACATCGTACCACTGCCACCACGAGTTGAGGCAGGTGGGGAGGGGTGGGGCTGCCTCACATGCTCCACACTGGCTTCCTTCAGGGCCAGGGCATTCCTTGCTTGATGACCTTCCCTTTCACTCCCCTCCCGAGCCAGACTGCCATGCTACAGAGGATGGGCGGGGTAGGCCTGGTCCCCCTCTGCTGTTTCGGAGCAAGGGGGGAGGGACAGCAAAAGGCTCCACTCTGCTGTGCACTGCTGGAATGGCTTTTTTCATGCTTTGCTCCACAGATCACCTGCCCGGTGGCAGCCGCCTTCTTTCCATCAACTCTCCCATGGCTTGCGCCATGAACAGGCATTGCAAGCCTCTCCTGCTGCCTCCCTCTGCCAAACCTCCATCACCGCCACTGGAGAAAATGGAGAATAGGGAGTGGAGCAGCTCCACGCAGCGATGTAGAGCAGAGAAGAGCACTTACTTGCTCCCCTGCATTGCCCCGCATCTCCCTTCTCCGTTCTGGAAATGGCAGCCTCATTTCCTGCTGTTTCTCCCGGCACTACTGTAGAGTTTGGCGCATCATTGCCCAGCTCCTCTCTCTCCCTGAATGCATTTATTGACTAACCTGCTTTCCAGCTCTGGCATGTTTCTCTCCTGCCGCGGGGAAACGGAGTTTGTGGGACTAAAAAAAGTTCAGTTAAACCTTTCAACTTCTCGTGAAAAAAAAACCACAAATCTTGCAGCAGGAGAGGCTTGCTCCACCCGGTCATGGTGCAAGCCACGGGAGAGTTGGCGGAGAAGGAGGAGGCTGCCGCCGGGCAAGTAATCTGTGAGGCAAAGCACTAAGAAAACCTCTCCAGTGGTGTACAGTATCAGCAGAGCCTTTTGCCATCACTCCCCTCATGGCGGAGGGGGACTGAGCCTACCCTGCCCATCCTCCGTAGGATGACAGTCTGGCTCAGGAGGGGAGTGAAAGGGAAGGTTGCCGAGCAAGGACTGGCCTGGCTGGGGGGGTCCTGAAGGAAGTGGGTGTGGTGCATGTGGGCCAGCTTCACCCCCTCCCCTACCTGCCTTGCCTTGTGGCAACAGCAGCGTGACACACGCTCTCCCGCCCCATTATGGTGAGGTGGGGCGGAGTGGGCGGGGTTCTAACTAGGGCTTATTTTGGAAGTAGGGCTTATATTAGGCCCATCCCCAAAAATCAGGATAGGTCTTATTTTCGTGGTAGGGCTTATTTTCAGGGAAACATGGTAACAGTAATACATGCAGATACCTAACTACGCCCAAATGTTTTATTATTTGATAACTGAGATCAATACCAATATTTAATTGGGTGTAATAGTCAAATTCAAATTGAAGATATCTACAGGTTATTGAGTATTTACTCTGGAGCAGATTTGTTTCCTTTGGAATCAGTATCTTCAGTCCTTTCTGCTATATTTAATGTTGACTGTCATGTGATTCCTCTGTGTTAAATATTTTGGTAATTTACTTTCAGACATAGTTTTCAGAGTGAGATTTTGAAGTAGAAGCAGCTATTGATAAAGCTTTGCTCCCTTGCCTTGTATGGAGTATAAATTGACTAAATTTATAATGAATTTATAGTGTTACAGTGGCACTGACAAGCTTTGCCTGAAAGAAGCTTCACTATCAAATTGATTAATGCTCACAAACGTTTCTGGGTCATAGAATTTACAATAAATTCACTGAAAATATTCCAGGCTCTCAGAGTTCTCTTTACAAAGTTTTTCTCTTTATAACCCTCATTAATAGAAGAGGTGAGGAGAGGAGAAAGGTAACATTGATACATTTCTTTACTAAATGGCCTCATTTCCATCAGAACAGTTAAACCAGTATTTTTGAAACCTGGTGAAATCATACAAGTTAAAAATTTACTGTCTGTCTGACCTGCATAATTGCTCTTCAGGCAGTGTAATTATGAACTCTTAAGTTGAAGCAGAAATATGGGATGATACTTAGCAGGTTGTAAATGATAACAGAATGCTTGTTTGCCAAATTAGCAGGGTGCAATCATTCTATATATTGAGAATGAAGTGATTATTCAGTTAGATTTTACTGCTAATAAAATAAAACTGGATATTTCATAAAAGTGAAAGGATACCCATGAAATCTTGATATACGTATTTAAAAGTGTACCAAGTGTCAGAATCCAATTATATTTCATCTTTAAATTATCAAATATAGAAACTCCCAATTCTGCCTTCTCTGGATTCTGCCATAAGAGGGAGAGAAGGGGGAGAACAAAGGGGCTTTATGGCCCTCACTTCCTTCTTTACACTTCAAAGAGCTAAATGCTGAATGTGTGTTTATTGTAACCTCGAAGTGTTAGCATACCAAAGGAGAGTATTTGCCTTTCATGTAGTTATCTGAAGTCTCCATCCAGACGGAAGAAAGAAGAAAGGGAGTGGAATTGTGATACTTGAAACTATCACTGGAAGGGGGGTTGATTGGGTGGGACTACTGGGGAACCCTTTAAAACCTTGAATGGGAGAGCTTGAACCCCAAGTCCTGTCTAGCATGCCTGCAACCATTTTCTCTTAATAAAGGATTCCTGTTGGAAGAATTATTCCAAGAGTTCTGTCTTCTTAAGATGCAAAGTGGGGAGGGTCCTCACATTAGACAGGACTTGCAAAATTAATCCACCTGGAAGGAAGACCCTTGCCGGGGGATTTTGCAAAAATTTACCATGTCAGACAATGGAGCAAAAGAGGGGGAAAACTCCATGGAAAGAGAGCCGCTGACCCAGTTGGAACCTTGCCAGATGTTGGGATCCGAGAGGCCAGATTCCTCAGGAGAAGAAGTGGTGGAGACACAGGACCACAAGCCTCGCTGGTCGATGGGCGTTGGAAAGAAAGTGAGTGGGGAAAGGAATCAAGAAAGGTGACCCTGAGACGGGGGACCAAGCAACCAGAATGGAAGCAGGAGATGGAGAAATCCCTGCACACAAGTGAAGAGGGAGGAAGCTGGGCACCGTACTCAGACTGGATCCTAGAGAAAGCTATTGACCTGATGAAGAGAACTCTCAGCTCCCTAGGAGAGGAGAATACTGAACCCTACGGCCGCCCCAGTTCCTGGAGCCGCAAAGGGAGAGACACCGAGGGGGACATGGAACCGGCAACCCCAGGGACATCTACTGATCCAGGAGCTCCCACCCCCTACCGGACCACAGATGGCAATCTGGACGGAAGGCACTACCACCCACAACAGAGGCACCGATCCATTCCAAGACGTCCACCGTTGGAAGTGAAATTCAAAGGGGAGCCAACACGCTTGGGGTTTTTTCTAACCCAAGTCCTCAGCTACATGGAGGAATATGGGCAGGATATTCCCAGCGACAAAGCCCGCATCCGGATCGTGCAATCTGCCCTGGATGGACCAGCTGCGGATTGGGTGGTGAACCTGCATGACTCCAATGCCCCAGAACTCAGTAACTTCAACCGTTTCATGTCCTCTTTGAGAAGACGATTTGAAGACCCCCTGGCTGATCGCAAAGCCCGTGAAAGAATAACAACGATGAGGCAGGGCAAACGCCCAGTGGCTGAGTATACACAAGAAATCCGGGCCATTGCCAGCAAACTGAATTGGCCAGAAGACATCCTCCTTGGCCGTTTCAAAGACGGACTAAACTATGATCTATATGATGCTTGCCTGCCCCGAGGAGACCCACATCGACTTGAGGAATGGTACGTCTTGGCAGAGGAAGCAGAGATAGACATATTGAAGAGGCATCGCCGAGGAAAACAATGGAGCCGCCCCCCGCCTGAGCTGACACACCAACCGGTGAAATCA